TAGCATTCTGTTGGTAATGCAGTAGTGAACTGTGGAAATATGTCAGAATAATATTCCGTTGGAACAGATTACCTGTATCACACCACCACACTCGTCCACCCACCCCCGTCAAATACTGTGTAGACTTGGTGCAGATGGCCTTGTCTCCTTGTCTTTCTGTATAAGGTCCCAGAGTTCGCTGACGTACACTCGTTTCTCTTTGTTGTCATTTCGGATCGTATATACGTGACCCCATCTCACGGTGACTGTGTATGGCCCTTCCCATGTTGGAAGCAGTCTACATGATCCTAGCGCATATTCGTCAGTGTCTCGCCTCATACTACCATATGCTGCATTCGCCCAATCTCACAACAGCGTTCCAAGTAACAGCCTCTTCGCTGACAGATCTTGAACGCCAGTCAACTCCACAACAACTTCGAAGTCCTGCAAGAAGACTTATATGTCTCCTTCTGCGAAAACTGCAGACCATAGACTTTCCATTTGTCGGTAGGCAGCGACACCAAATGTAACAAAAGAAGGTGGGACACGGAAGCCAAGGTATATTTTCAAGTGATCAAACCATATATATCCAAATTGGTATCTCTATATAGCCAAATAATGTACTCCTTATCTTCAGCGCACCATTTCCACAGATCACCTTCCATGTTGTGCTACTTCTAGCCTTTCTTCATATTGTGTGTGTTTCTCTGTGTTTTCTTTTCACGTCGTCTGCCATGTATCTCTATCTTCACAACGCTGAATCATTTGCTTTCTCTGACATCAAATATATCTCCCTCCTAATTGATGTGTTTTATGTCGATAAACGTCTCTTTATATACTACTGATAAATCTTATCAGTAATACAGTACACGCCACTTCTACTGTGAGCCTTCAAAGCTCCAGGAGGCTTGAAGCCTCAATAACTTCCACTAGTAGCACGCAAAGGAATCAACAAATAAAGTCTGATTGGATAACTCATTCTATCTATTCTCTTGTTACTTACTTGTTACTACTTTCTCTCAAAAATTATTTACTTCAATAGTTTAAAATTTCAATTTAATAATAAATACTACTTAAAGTTAAAAATTCACTTGGCTATTGTTCTTCTCCGTTTGTTTATTTATTCATTTGTTTTCTCGCGATTTTACAGTTGTTATTAGTTACGTTTGTTTGTATATAGAATCAATTATTTGTTGTATCTATTGTCCAATGCAAACACGCACACGCACACTCACACAAACAATAAACATAACAAATAATTTGATTGTATTCATATTGAAACGTGGTGATATAAGTTCATCAGTAAATGTTGTTTGTTTTAATTTAGAAATGATTGTTTATATACAATCACCTGTTTATCTAGCCGACTTATCTCACTGAGAGTCTTTTAAGAACTGCATTCTGTGTAGCTATTTAGAAACGAGCACACTCCCTGATAACAGATGAGCAAGAAAAAGAAGAAGAAATTTCAAACATCACTAAAACTCTCAAGCAAAACAACTACCCAACGAACTTCATCAACAAAATCAACACAGACATTAAGTATGGCCGAAAATGCATTCCGAAAACATGGACTTCAACAGTCGTCATTCCATATAGAGCAGAGACGTCAGACGATATCAGAAGAGTACTTAATCAACTCGACATTAGAGTTTTCTTCAAAACATCGGACACACTTCAAAACAACCTTGTCCATATAAAAGACCAAATCCCGAAAGATTCTCTATCTAATTGTGTCTACAAAATAAAATGCTCGGAATGTGATGCGATCTACATCGGACAAACATCTCGAGAAATCAAAATCAGAAGAAATGAACACCGTAGAGCTTCTCTTCGACCACCAAGAAATCCAGTTGAACTGGAAAAACTTCAAAAATCATCAGCCATAGGTCTACATGCTATAGAATCAGGCCACAAAATTGATTTTGACAATATTGAAATAATCCAGAAAAACTTCAGAAACCACAAAGAACGTCTAATATCAGAAGCACTTCATATCAAGTGGAATCCAAATTGCCTGAATAGGAATGATGGACTGAAACAGAATCTAACCTGGCTACAACACCCTCCCCCATGAAGTAGCAAAATCAACGCAAATGTGGTGAGCAAGTTCACTATGTAAACGCACACTACTTTCATAATTCTACACACTGACAAAATCCAACAATCTACACTTGGTTTTACTATCTTTACCAGTTCGCTAACTTGACAACAAAAAACGACCCAGACTGATGAATGATGATCAAGTATTTCACAGCCTACACTTAGTTTAGTTACCTTTACCTACTCCCCAACATGACAACCAAAATGACCTCATACTGACGAACGATAATCAAGTATTTCACATTCTACACTTAGTTTGGTTACCTTTACCTATTCTCGAACTTGACAACCAAAAATGACCCCAGACTAACGAACGATGATCAAGTTAGTAAACTTTATTTTGATATAATAACAGATATACTATTACCTTTGATATTTGGTTTGAACGATCTTCATTGTTATTTTGACTTTCAATATGTCCTTTTAAGTTGAACTAAGTCTATATTTTTCTCACCCCCTAATTCTTTGTTATATATATGCTGAGATTTTGTAAATTCCGGTTTAATAATACTTTGAGAAAGCTATTAGCATTAAATAGCGAAACGTCAGTAAAAACAATCTCGTTTTGTTTTTTCATTCATTGGGAAATACAAAAAACCTCTATTATAATGAATATCATATACCCAATGCCCAAATTTTTTCAAACCGTTAAAAGTGAACTTGGTTTGGATATATATGAGCTATTTAGAAGCCTTATTCATTTGATTTGATTGGTTGGAGGATTTCATCATGAGCTGATATCAGTTAGAGAAGCATTGCAAAAACCATCTGGGGAGTACTGCATGGACAGTTGTTTGAGGCAGTAGGCACCCACCACTACAGGAGTTCGAACCCAAGACCTTGTGGTTACAAGGCGGCTAGTGAACTCGTAGACCCATTCATCAGCCAGTGTGAGCAATATTGAGGTTAGGCTTCAGGCGAGTGCTAGATAGGTGAGAGGGAAAATCAATCGACGAGGCTGTGAAGTTACACAGATTGAGATGGTTAGGATATGTGTTATGTATGCTTAGTCATCGCCTTCCTCGACTAACGGGCAATGTTAGCTGACATATGGTCAGGCGGCAGTCAAACCAAAACATGGCTTCTTCAGTCAATGAAATCCACAACAGTTAGGAGGTGTAGACTTCCTGACTGGTTCGGGTCTTTGGGATGGTAAAAACCAATGGTTGGAAACAATTGGTGATATGGCTCAAAATTGTTCTCAATGACTGGCGCAGATGCATTTACTCCTTGTGACTTATGATTACCTGTGAAACTTTATTGTTCTTCGTTAGTACACCTCTGTTTACTGTCTCTATTATGCATTTCTTCTACTTTCAGCTCTTGCTTTGTGTGGTACATGGAGGGAGTGTGGTGACTTGAACTGGTACACATAGACTTTTTTCGTATTTGAATTCTGATGGGTTCTCCAAGGTTACTGTGGGTTTGGTGGGATGGTAGTTTAACTTTGATATAAGAATAAAACTTGTGCACTGTGGTGGTAGGGTATAATTCCATTATGGGTAAAATTTATTTTGATAAAGTTTCACAGTGTGGTTATACAGTAATATTAACTGATGACCTTTCGAGCCCGATTTATTACTGCTCATAATCATATCAAGGTAACTCCTCATACAACTTTCTAACTTCGTTTATATAATTCCATTATTTTCCATAGCTTGAATTGATTGGTAGTAGTATTTTGCATATTTCTGGAATGAGTGATGAGTCATTCTCTCTTGCATATCTTGGCTGTTGTAGGCTGGATGAACCAAGATTCAGTAATCAATCTCTCTCTCGTTCTTCACCTATATCTATATTACATCTGAGAATTTTGACTCTGTCCCACGCACCCTATTGTGTGGTTATGTGTTAATGCATGCAGTGCAGTGAGAGATTGCTGAGTGCTTTTTCCTAAATTACTTGTCTTCCTGGGATCAATTATTCCAACTCTACCTAAATTCTTATGTTCTGACAGGTACTCACACTACTCCTAATCCACTAGTTTGACCTATGTAGTTGACCCCCCTCACAGTCATTGCAAGGTATTTTGTAAAGCACATCATTATTTTGTTTAATTAGGTCCACCAGGTCTTTTAGTCTACAGAGCTTGTCCTACCTGAATAAGTTTGTAGGTTTGGATGCCACCACCCTAATTCCTGCTTTATTGAGAATCCTGCGTGGGGAGTGTCACAGATGTTACCTCCTTATATGGTATAACATTGGATGACTTATATTCTTTCTTATTTATGTTATTATTACTAGTTTCACAATTATTTTTATTTTTCGTTCGACCTTTTTTGATCTTCCTAATGAATTTCATAGGATAGTTATTCAACACCAACGCTTCTTCTATCTGTTTCATTTCATCATTTAGGTCTTTTCTTGTACTACTTAGTGCTACTGCTCGGTTTGTTAGACAGACACTTAGCTAAGCCTGCCTTAACAATCAACAGATGAGATGAATTAAAGTCTAAGTATCTATTAGAATGCGTTATCTTTGTATCAGCGCTAGTGTGCAGTTTACCCTCTTCTGTTCGTTTTATTTTACAATCTAACACCATAGCTAATTCTCCTTGTTCATTTTCCGATTCAAATGTGAATTTTATTCCCTCTACTAGTGAGTTTATATGTGTCAAGTGTTTTGTTTTTAACACTTTGAAAGTGTCATCCGTATATCTCCACCATATTTTTTGGAGTAGGATTAAATGTATTAAGAGCCATGTGTTTCTCAGCTACGATAGAGGATAGGAGCAATAAATTGTGCTCGAAATATGGTGGTCATCAGTAAATAATATTACTGCATAACAACACTGTGAGACTTTATTAAAATAAATTTTACCCATCACTTTGTTTTTCTATACTGCGTCGCCATGATTGACTTTCATTTTGATAAATATGGAACTGTGTTGTAAATCTTCTTTGCTATTTCCTTCTAGCATGATTTGTTACTCATTCAAACATTACTTGGAAGACAACCTCAAGTCGTTGAAGATCACCACCAACACCATCCTCCTCATCGTGATTCTGATTGGTTCATCAACTCAGCGATAAACTTCGCCAATACACTAAAATCAATTCTTTCCAAACCATTCCCTCGTGTTAGCTACAATGAAGTCATAAAATATTTAAACAAACAAGAAATCAACCCCAGTGAACCGTATGATTTGAACAAAAGTGATGAACAGCAAATACTCGATTGGTTCGGTGGAGATCAACCGGTTTTCATAACACATTTCCCTGCACAACTTAAACCATTTTATTGTCAACTGACTGATGATGCTGACGATGGTGGTGGTATTACAGCTGAATGTACGGATTTATTATTTCCAGGAATTGGTGAACTAGTCGGTGGAAGTGTTCGTGAATCCTCTGCGAGGGTATTACAGTCGCGTATTAAGGCGTTGAATAATGCTTATCATTATCATCATCATCATTGTACAGATAAATTAAACTGGTATATTGATTTACGTCATACTGGTAGTGTACCACACGGGGGTTTTGGTCTTGGCTTTGAACGTCTTCTGCAATATCTACTGGGGATAGTGAATATACGAGATACAATTGCATTTCCGAGAAATACTCATAAAATTATCTTGTAGAATATATATATGTATTTTGTATCATTTTTGGCATTTTGTTGTACACTGAGTTAATTTTGCACAATGTTGGAGTGAGTTTATAGAACAGCACACATTTGAGCGAACAGTGGTATTGTGATTTCACATCGCATGATTAAACAAACAAATGTTCAGGTAGACGTATTGATATATGTGGGTAAAAATTGGGCACTGTGGTAGTAAGTAATTCCGTATTAGTTTGTTTATTAAATGCATCACACAGTCAGTGAAACAGTATTATTATTTACTGGATGACAATGTTTCGAACACAATTTATTTATTGTTCATAATCATTTCATCAATTATAATCACACACGACTTCGAAACTTGAGTTTTATCGTCTACTTTGTTCTCTCCTATTTGTCGTCGTTGGGGGGAATGTGGAATTTTCCAGATATCTGGGTGGACAGGTGTTGAATCGTTCCTATTACACGTATTCACTCTCAGTTGATTCGATAAACAAAGCTTCCGTTGACATCAATCTCTCCCTCCACCATGTTAGTTGTATTAAATTTTTAAACTGTCATCTCATCCCATCCATCCTATTGCATGGTTGTGTGTGACTGCATGTAGTGAGTGCTATGGGTGAACTATTCTCTAGATTTCTTATCTTATTCGGGTCAACTAATCAAGATTTTGCTGCTAGGTGTTTATGTTCGGCTAGTCTGACTCACTGACCATGTTCTACTAGTCGACCTATGTATTTGACCTGACAATCATCGCAGGCAGGGTATTAGATAAACTAAATTGTTTTGTTTTAAAGGCTCCACAGGATCCACCATTTAAGCGACAAAGCTTGTTTCTAATTGAGTTTGTGGTTGGTTTGAATGCCAGCCACTTTTATTCCCGCATTGGTAAAAAAAATAAATAATAATAATAGTAGTGATAGTGATAATATTAATGACGACATGCATGTCAAACATGCGCCAGGTAATGACAAAACCAACAAAAAGGAATCTAAATCATCAGGAAGGAACCTTGGAAACCTCAGGCAGAATTCTTAACAACGCGGGAATAAAAATTGCTGGCATTCAAACCCACAAACTCAATTAGAAACAAGGATGGGATAAGATGACAGTTTTGAAATCCAATGCAACTAACATGGTGGAGAAAGGGATTGATAACAGAAGCTTTGTTCATCGAATCAACCGAAGAGAATACGTGTAATAAGAATGATTCAACACCTGTCCACCCAGATATCTAGAAAATTCTACTGCCCCAACGATGACAAATAGGAGAGAACAAATAAAACTATAAAACTCAAGTATCGAAGTCGTGTGTGATTATAATTGATGATATGATTATGAACAATAAATAAATTGCGTTCGAAATTGTGTCATCCAATAAATAATACTGTTTCAGGTAGACGTAGTAGTTCAGTGAAGGCTAAGAAAAATAAGTGGACCGATTAAGTAATGCTAGATTGTAAGGGAAGTAAATGAAACAGGTTCTTAATGTAGATGTGATAAGATTAAGGGATGATAAGAGATGAAGGTTTGAAAACTATGAGTATGCGTTGGTGATGGCGTTATCAGTTGGTTAGGTCTTAATAGGCCAACAAGAAAGGAATAATCGCTGTGGACGAACTTCTTCTGAATGAATGCATAGTTTAGGTTTAATAGTTCGAACGCCCATCGCCTCAGTTATACGTGCAGTAGACGAATACGAAGTCTATTGGAAAGATTCGATGGAATACGATGAATTACTTTGAAAGCTTTCGTTTTCTCCACTACATGACCACTACCAATTAGATGTGACAGAATTGAGTTACGGGTTGCTTTTGTCTGTCCTTTGACAAACCACCACGATGGGAGATGTTCACTAACACGTTGGCTAAGCTGTCTAGCAGTACGTCCAACATAACTGTCACCGCATATGGAGTTGAGTTGATAAATGCACATACATGTGGCAAAACTATCTAGCTTATCCTTCGTTTGCGTCTTTAATCATTCGTCGGCTAGAGAATGACAAACATAGGTGTGCTGCGTAAAATGTTCTTCGTATACTCCTTGAAAGTCTTTGAAATAAAATCTCACTTGATAAGTCACCATTAAATTGTAGCCTAATTAAATAGAGGTTTCTTATGTGCAGTCAGAGTCTCAGGTCTTCTCTCTGATGGTTTCATATATTTCTTTATGAAACTACTCGGATAGCCCATCTCCGTCAAGGACTCGTGAATATATTCAAATTCCTTTTGTAAGAAGTCATCCGTACTTAGCAAGACATCCAGGAAATGTAGTTTATTCTCTTGCTCCTCTTCACAAGGAAAAGCAAGCGAAGGGTGGATGCTGTTGAATTTCAGCAACAGTTCGTCTATGTTAACGTTCCCATCAACTGAGATAAATGTTTATAGAAACTTGATTTGTTTCTAGTTCCCCCATGGACTGATATCAGTTATGAACGAAATATTCTTTTCGACGATTCGTTTTCATAAGCTGCTGTAAAATCGTAATGATATTTAACAAATTTATCATAAGACAGCACATCAGAAACTGGTAAAATTTGTCTTCGAAAAACGCATTACGTAGTGTAAGATGTAATCTAGACAGGGTGACTAATTGTAAGTTAGGCACAAGTTGGCATGATGTAATAAGTGTGGGAGATAATGACTAATCAATAAGCTCGTGTAGAATGGACAGGAACTAGTGAAAAGGCGATAAAGTGTTTTTATATAAAATCTGTATGAAAAAGCAGTGTTATTAATAAACAGTAATAGAGTGATGGTAAGAATATGGATGTTGAGAATAATACCAGTAAACTTACATCATAACAAAAGAAAGAAGCAAAATTATAATAAGAACGTTACTCTGGCCAGGGCTAGTGGAATGTATGTAGCGCTTTTGAATACAGAGGTCTAGTTTCTGTTCCCGAATAGCTAATGTTTCAGCCATGTACAGATGGTGTATTCGAAGTCCCTTTGTACGATATTGAGGGACTCTGTGTAGCACTGTGAAGCATTCATGCAAGTTGGGGGTGCTCCATCTCCAGAGTTGACAAGGTGTTTGAGGTTCGAGCCGCTACTATTCTTCTTTTCTCCTCTGGCTGGCTAACCAAGCTGGACAGTGTTCTAGAATACGTTTATGAACTTGACATTGCGTACGATCGATATACTTTGCTCCACACGAGCAAATAAATTGATGAATACGCATTGAGGTGGCTAAAAGCGGTGGTATCTTATCCTTAAGCTTAAACTGGATTAACTATCTGCTGGTGAATGTGATACGTAGGTTGGCTGTTGGAAATGTCTTCTTCAGATACTTAGAAAGGTGGTTTCTAAGAATTTCTGTTGTGATGTCACCTCTGAATTCCAGATTCATGAGAGAGTTTTCTTAAGAACAGCTGTGATTTTCAGCGATGGAGGGTCGGTAACCAGGCCCTTCTGGTTACAAGTTAAGTTCGTGTACCATTTAACCACTGGAACGGAATCCAATACTCCGTGAATTCTTACTTGGTTTTTACATAATGTGATATCCCACCTAATTTAGTAATTTATCAGCTGTTTCTAAGTCTGGAAAAAGAGAGGATAGGTTGGGGTGTGAGACTAGCGACCCTACCCCAGGGAATCAAATCTAATCGCTGCAGAAACTTCAAAGGACAGAAAATAAATAAACTGACTCTTACTAATACATGTGTAGAACTGTGGTAGTAAGTAATTCCATATTAGTTTGTTTACTAGATGTATCACACAGTCAGTGAAACAGTATTGTTTGCTGGATGACAAAGTTCCGAACAAAATTTATTCATTGTTCATAATCATTTCATCAATTATAATCACACACGACTTCGAAACTTGACTTTCATAGTTTTCTTTGTTCTCTCCTATTTGTCGTCGTTGGGGGAATGTGGAATTTTCCAGATATCTGGGTGTACAGGTGTTGAATCATTCCTACTACACGTATTCTCTTCAGTTTATTTGATAAACAAACCTTTCGTTATCAGTTTCCCCCTCAACTCTATTACATTAGCAACATCTAGATTAGTTAACCCGAATAAGATAAGAAATCTAGAGAAAAGTTCAGCTACAGCACTCACTACATGCAATTACACACAACCATACAGCATAGGATGGATGGGATGAGATGACAGTTTCAAAATCTAATCCAACTAACATGGTGGAGGGAGAGATTGATGTCAATGGAAGCTTTGTTTATCGAATCAACTGAAGAGAATACGTGTGACTGGAATGATTCAGCACCTGTCCACCCAAATATCTGGAAATTTCCACTACCTTCCTCCACGACAAAAATGGTAAAGAATAAAGAAAAGTATAAAAGTCAAGTTTCGAAGTCGTGTGTGATTATAATTGGTGAACTGATTAGAAACAATAATGAATTGTGTTTGAAACTTTGTCATCCAGTTTGTATAATACTGTTTCACTAGCCGTATGATACATCTAATAAAAAGCCTAATAGGAAACTAATTCTTCGCTGGAATCGTAGCAAGCCAAAGGTCACTAATCTACTGAAAACTAGTCAACCGATGCGTATTATTTGAATGAAAGCAAAGACAGCCTTGGAATGTGCAATGTACCCCCATAATGTTGCTGGAAGTTGGAATGACTACTCGAATCGTAAAAGAAATGAGAAGATATGCGATATAGAAGTGTTGGGAATATATGAGAGCAGATGACATGGAAATGAACTTCTTGTCTATGCTACTGACAAACTTATCAGTAGTATATAAAGAGATGTTTATCTGCATAAAAATATCAAATAGTAGGTTGATAGATTTTATGCCAGAGAAAGCAAATGATTCAGCGTTGTGGAGATAGATACAGGGAGATGACGTGAAAGCAACACAGAGAAACACACACACACGCAATATGAAGGAAGGTGAGAAGTAGAACAACACAGAAGGTGGCTTGTGCAAAGGGTGCGTTGAAGATAGATAAGGTGTACATGATTTGGCTATATAGAGATACCAAATCGCATTCATCTCATTCCTACATCAAGTCTTTGATCTTCTACTGATACAGACTCTCC